TGAAGTTTGACTTGTAAATTAGCTGAAAAAATAATTAATTTCCTTATTTAGGACTTAATTGTAATTCTCCCGTTATCCACTGGTGATACCGCCATTATGCATAGCAGCGACTGGCTCACTACACCTGGAACATCTAAATGATGGAGAAGCAGCACAGCGTGTTCGAAGACAGTAGTAACAATATCTGTGTCCAGAGAAAATTTGATCCTTCAATGACCATGTTTTTTTTTAATTTAAAGAATACACACAAAAGGATACTTTCATAGATAGAAATTCCATGTTTCCATCACCATAACTTATAATCAAAATGAAAGTGAAGAGAAATTGTACGTCTAGAAATGCACCTGTGGTGACAGGGAAGAGCAACAAAAGGAATAGTTGGAGTAGATCGACAAATGGGGCAGACATTGTCATCTTGATCTGAATTTGAGGATTTATCCTTCGAAAATGGTCGAAGGAGATTTCTCATAGATGATGAATTAAAAGGGGAAGAAGCAGCAGCAACATTTCCTGCCAGCAGAACAAGATATGAGCTCCAATGCCGGCAAATGAGGGGAAAAGACACTTGCATATTCACATAAACTAGAAAAATAAGTAAAAATAGTAGCAAGTGCAGGAGTGAAAACAAGCCAAGGTCCAAATCTCATTTTCAATTGAAACATAATCGGCGGCAAAAACAAGTTCCCCAGCATTATAAGCAAACAATGGACACAATGCAGATCGATTTCAATACAAAAAACCTGGAACAAAAAAATCTAGGTCAATAGCACTGTCAAGTAAACGAAGAGACTAAATTCGTTGGTGAGGAAGAATTACCGAGAATTCATTCCAAACTAACTGCCGGTTCATATATTCAAAGCTAACAGCACGGTTCATATTTGGGCTCCCATAGACAAGCCTAGCTCGTAAAGCCCTTTCAATGAGATTTCTATATCTGCTTTACATCAGCACAATCATAAGGAAGATTAGTAGATGGTGCAGTTTATCATGAGATACACCCATCCTAAAGGACTTTTAAAAACACTCAAAACCAAATAAAAACCAATGACCAATCACTCAATTAGAGTAGAAAATAATTGAAAATAGATGAATAAGAAAAAATAGCGTTTGGTTAATCATCTGAGTCTTGAAAAGAAATACCTTCCAGTATAAAGAAATATCAACAAGTTGCCAAATGAAGCAGCTTTATAAATTCCTTCTATACGTTGTATAAGGATCCATACCCGACGAGCCAGTGACCTCTAAATGAAATAAAAACCAGATGAGAAGTCATTCCCATCCACCTCCATCTGGAGAGAAGGTCAGCAGCTGTCAGTTTGGGGCCCAAAATAGCCAAGAAATTACCTGATCAGAATCACCCCACCGACGAAAAGCAGAAAAAGGATTGTATGCGAGCCCAGATATACTGACCACCAACAGTTGCGATACAATACCAAATCTTTTGAGCAACAGTCAATCCAGGACCTTCAAGACCAGTTCTGACTGTGGGAGTCAACCATGCAAGTAACAGTATTATAAGTTTGTACAGGTCAACATGACACTAAAATGAGTGCACCCTAATGAAAGAATATATGCAGTGGTTACTCGTCACAGGAAATCAGAGTGGATATTCCTCGCTCCAGTTATTGGTTGTTTTAAGGCAAGGAAAAGTCTCTTTAAATGATCATATTTAAAACTTCTATCGATGCTCACGTGAGCAGACAGAAATGGCTCGAAAGACACTTTGAATCAGCCTGAATTGGCACATCTTACAAAATGATATTAAGAGAAAATCGGCATTGACACTATCTAAAGGACACAATCATTCATAGAGCTGGCAAGACTAACAATAGCCTTGTACAACTGACAGAAAGCTAACTCTCACATTTTAACTCAAACATATCACATATTCCAATAGATGATATTCAGACCTTCTTACCTTTTTCTCTTGGTTCAACTGCACGCTCATCTCTATACCTCAGGTTCATGAGAGCAATACCTGGAGTTGGCTTATCAACCCAAATTGAGAATCTCCAAATAAGAAACTCAAGGAAAGCATCAAGCTCAGCTTCGTACTGAAATAACATTCCTGGCTAAATCCAAAACAACAAGAATTTAAAAGATGTTCAGAGAAGTTCCAAAACTACTATTATAATTCATTTCATAAAAATATGAAAGCAAGACAACACTGTACCTTCATTAAAGAAAACACTTTAACCAACTGTTCCTTCAACATGGCTGACATTTCAACATCCAGTCTAGCAGCATCAACTTGGTTAACTCTTGATATAGAAATAGGAATTGTTGACTGCAGGGAGTTCGACAAAACTAATCAACCGTGGGCGGGGACACGAACGCGTATTCATTCTACTACTGGGAATTTAGAATGCAAGGAAATTATATCACACGGAAAAGTAACCATCAGGGATCAGGCAATAGCGGGCTCAGGCATGCAAATCAATTTTACATCAAAAAATCACTGGGCTTCCATTGATGAGAGTGAATTCGTCAGCGAGACAAAAAACTTTAAGATAAGCATTCCTCCACAGTCCTCATTCAAACGAATTTGGCAGAAGGGTAGTGGCACAAAAAAACATCAAAGAAATCGTATGTTACGTGCCAAAAGAGGAACAGTACTAAACAAAATCACCAATTAGCAAGGAAGGCATAGTTATGAACATTAAGTAACATCAAAAGCATGAAGCTGAAACCCTAAATCACAAAATAAGGGGAAAATTGCGGGATTGAATACAATTGAGGAAGTGACGCTATGTTAGGGCGGATTAGAGAGAAGGACCTGATGAGAAAGTGAATGAGATTCCCAACGAGGCAGCCACTTGTGGCAGGTATCAAGCCAAGCATCTTCGGGTGGTGGGAGATTGTTGCTGGTCATTGCCGTTGTTGATGACGATGACGATGACGATGGTGATGAAGAAGAAGAAGAAGAGGCTGGGTATTCCCTGTCCATGAAGTAAGATGAGCTTTGAGGAGAAACACGAGAAAGTGTGTATGAGAGGGGGATTAGGATGTTCTGGTCACCACTGTTCTAGGCGGTTGAAGCAGAAGGGTTTCCAGTCCATCAAAAAACAAAACAAAAGGAAAAGGAAAAGAAAGAAAATAATTAAAAAAAGAACAAAAATTACATCCGGTAATTAGAATTATTAAGAATTACATTACAAATACAATCATTTTCAAAAATTAAAATCTATACAAACTTAATGACATTGGGATCATTACTCTCTCTCAAAAATTATACTACTTCTTTAGTCAAAGAAATAACCCACCAAAAGAACTCAATGATTAGATAAACATAAATCTAATTTTGATATCATTTTATTATAAGTTTATTGTTGTGTCCTCAAAAAACTTGAAACTAAAACCTTTCACAAGTCCCAAAGATGCAGGACATAACACTTAGCTTCCAAGCTTATATACATATATGGTTAAGAAATGTTATAATTTGTTAATTTAAAATAACTGTCCTGCATGGTTTCGTTTGTAACACACCAAAATTTTTTTTTTTAAATTTAACTCAACCATAGTTGGGTTACAGCCACCCAACACATTTTTATATCAATAATTTTGATATAAAATATTTTATAATGGCTTCAACTTACACACTATAACATTTCAGATAAATTTTTACCTCCCACATGCCATTAGGCTAAATCACATTTGTCCATCCTTATACTCCCAACAAGTAAAATAAGCAATTTAGTCAATTTTTAACACAAGCCAGTTATTTGGCCTTATAATCATGCCATTTTAACCAATCCAAAGTAAACCAAATATTAAAATTACAGTCATCCAAATTGTACCAAAAATAGAAATAGTTTGAAAGGCATGATTACATTTATATATTCATATAATTGACAATAAACAAAAAGCCCTAATATTGGCAATATAACACATTATAAATCATAAATTAAATACCCAAAAGAGACAGTGGATCTATACCACTAAGCCTCTGGGACTCCTCCACGTGTCACTCGTGGCTCTTCTCCTGAAAATTGTTAACCACATAATGAGACTCAAAAGTCCCAGTAACCAAAGCCAATTTATGATAGTGTATACAAACAGTTAAGTGTGTGCTTACTAAGTGAGAATTAAAAATAATATAATTCCAACAAATATAAGAAATATTACAATACACACAAACAACCATCCTTATATCCCTCCATTAACCTCGAGCCGTAGCCCTCACTCGGTGCTAAATTACCCGGCCAAAGGTAGATTAGCCCGAGCCCTTACAAGCCACCTATTGAGCTCCAATAGGGGCGTACCACGTGGCACATAAATACAACAACAATAGCAAGTCTCCCAACACCTCCCACAATAATCAAACAAATTCATAATATATTGCACAATTATACAATATACAAAAAATTCATAATTTTCTCAATAATCACCCAATTAACATGAAGTAACACTAATCACAAATTAAAAGCATGGTTACCTTGTGGCTTTTTCAATAAATTATTCCTTAAAATTTCTTTCTCACCACAATCTTCACCAGTAATACAATCTACAAATAACATATTATTTATAAATATTAGTTTCAATTTTTGAAACTAATAAAATAATTCTAATAATAGAATTAAAAATATAACATAATTCCTAATCTCAATCTTAATACAAATCTATAGTTAATACTATTAAGTATAATTTTTAACTCCTCTTTTAATTATCAATAAACATTAATAATCTAAAAATCAACTTCTAAACTAATTTCTATTATCAAAATTTCTTTTTATTTCATAAATTCGTACCTAAAATACTCAAAAATTAAAAATTAAGTCTCTAGCTTAGAATCATAATCCTATAGCCATAATAATTCATTTCTCATCCCAAATAATCATCTAAACCTCAATAAATCAACATATATTTTCAGATCTAGTCTAGAATTTGATCCATAAGCCACAAATTCAAAGATCACCAATAAATTTATACTCTAGAATATTTATTATACTACTAACAACCTCAAAAACCATATTTATTCAACATAAATTCATCCCTCTTCCAGATCTTAAATTTTCTACCACTACAAACTCAGAAACAAAAGAAAAGGATGACTAAGAAAAATTTTAGACCACTTACTTAGTCTTGAAAAGCTTAAAATCACATCCTAAATATCCTATTAAAAACTCTTACCTTAAAACCCTGCACCGGTGAATTTGGCTCACAGATGCTCTCTCTGCCGAAGCTCACGCACGAAGAAGGAATGAAGAAATGAAGGAACAGGTGAGTTTTTATAAAAATTCAGTGGGTCCTACATTTTTTTAATTATTTTCTCTCTCTCTTCTTCTTCTTTTTTTTATTATTATTTTATTATTGTTACTGTTGAGGCGGCGGACGAAGCAAATTCGTTTTCTTCTTCTTCTTCTTTCTTCCTTTCTTTTTTATATTATAATAATAATTTAATAATATTTTTTTATTATTTTTTTTTATTTTTTATTTTTTTTTTAAAATTATTTATTTTTTTTATTTATTTTTTTTTAATTTCTATTAACCCAAATTAACTATTAAAATTTATATTGGGATGTTACAATTCTCCCCTCCTTTTAGAAATTTTGTCCTCAAAATTTAAAATTAGTAACTATTAACTACTCACTTAATCAAAAAGACGAGGATAATCACGTCGCATACTGTCCTCGGTCTCCCACGTAGCATCACCTGGAGTCGTGCCCTTCCAAATTACTTTAACCAATCTAATGGTCTTGTTTCTTAATTGCTTGTCCTTGTAATCCACAATCCTTTCTGGTTCAGCTTTGAATGTCAAATTCTCCCTGAGTTCAATTTCCTCGGGTTCAATTATATGGGAAGGATCTGGTTGATACTTTTTCAGTTGTGACACATGGAATACGTTGTGTATTCCAGCAATTTGGGGTGGTAATGCTACTTGGTACACTACTGGTCCAACTCGTTTTAAGATCTCAAAAGGCCCCATAAATCTTGGTGTCAACTTCTTAGCCTTAATAGCTCTTCCAACACCAGTTACCGGAGAGATTTTCAAAAATACATGGTCACCTACTTCAAACTCAAGCGGTCTTCTCCTCTTATCCGCATAACTCTTTTGTCTACTTTGAGCTGTGAGTAATTTTTGCTTGATTAAAGCAATCTTTTGGGTAGTCTCATCAACAATGTCTGGCCCCAAAACAGTTCTCTCACTTAATTCTGTCCAACACAGTGGCGATCTACATTTTCTTCCATACAATGCCTCATAAGGTGCCATCTGAATGCTAGAATGAAAACTATTATTGTAGGCAAATTCAGCTAATGGCAAGTGACTATCCCAATTACCTCTAAGCTCAATGGCACAAGCTCTTAACATGTCTTCAAGAGTTTGTATGGTTCGTTCCGTTTGCCCATCGGTCTGGGGGTGGTAAGCGGTGCTAAAACTCAGACGAGTACCCATGGCTTCCTGTAATGACTTCCAAAAGTTTGATGTGAATCTCGGATCACGATCAGATACAATATTTGTCGGCACTCCATGCAATCTCACCACTTCTCTTATGTAGATTTCAGTTAATTTTTCGAGAGAATACTTGATATTAGTAGCCAGAAAATGAGCTGATTTGGTGAGTCGATCTACGATTACCCATATAGTGTCATGACCAGAAGATGTTCTAGGCAATCCTGTAATGAAGTCCATAGAAATGCTGTCCCATTTCCACTCTGGAATATCAAGAGACTGTAGCATCCCGGCTGGTTTCTGATGCTCAATTTTGACTTTCTGACAAGTCAAACAACGAGTTACATGTTCAGTTACATCTCTCTTCATCCTTGGCCACCACCAACCACGTCTTAAGTCATGATACATCTTAGTTGCTCCTGGGTGAATGGTATATTTACTCTGATGAGCCTCCTCAAGTAAGATATTTTTCAATCGAGTATCATTAGGCACACACACTCTACCTTTATATCTTACGACATCATCATCGGTCACATCAAAATGTTCAGCCTTTCCAGCCCCAATCTCTACCCTAATCTTATTCAAATAATCGTCCTTCTGCTGCGAAATTCTGATTTCTTCCCAAAAATTATTCTCAAATTCAGTAATATGTAGAGCAGCCAAACGATTTTCGACTACTTCTACATTTACTGCATGAAAACTACTCCATAATTCATGTTCTCTGACCATCATGTGAGCAGTATGTACAAGCTTCCTGCTCAGAGCGTCGGCGACTACGTTAGCTTTCCCTGGATGATACTTCAACTCAAAGTCATAATCCTTCAAAAACTCAATCCATCTGCGCTGTCTCATGTTGAGCTCCTTTTGATCAAACAAATATTTTAAACTTTTATGATCACTGAAGACTTCAAAAGAAGAACCATAAAGATAGTGCCTCCAAATCTTCAAGGCAAATACCACAGCAGCAAGCTCCAAGTCATGAGTAGGGTAATTTTCCTCATGAGGTCTCAACTGTCGAGAGGCATAAGCCACTACTCGATCCTCCTGCATCAATACACAACCTAAACCTTTCTTAGAAGCATCAGTATACAAGGTATAAGGAGCAGTTGGAACAGGTAAGGTGAGCACCGGTGTGGTGGTCAACCTCTTTTTTCAGCTCCTGGAATGCAATTTCACACTCGTTCGTCCAAATAAATGGAGCATCTTTCCTGGTCAACTTAGTCAAGGGCATTGCAATTTGTGAAAAACCCTTAATGAAACGACGATAGTAGCCTGCAAGACCCAAGAAACTCCTAATCTCTGTCACACTTCGAGGTTGCTCCCATTTCATCACTGCATCTATCTTACTAGGGTCCACCGCTACCCCTTCTTCTGAAACAACATGGCCTAAGAATTTAACTTCTTTAAGCCAAAAATCACATTTGCTCAACTTGGCATAGAGCTTGTGCTCTCTTAATATCTCCAAAACAATTTTAAGATGTCTAGCATGGTCCACCTCATCTCGAGAATAAATAAGTATGTCATCAATAAAGACTACAACAAATTCATCGAGATAAGGCCTGAAGATTCGATTCATATAATCCATGAAGACAGCTGGGGCATTTGTTAACCCAAACGGCATCACTAGGAACTCATAGTGCCCA